CTCTAATATGTCTCTGACTAGACCTTCATGCCTGAGAAGGTGTCCTACCAACCTATCTCGCCTATTTTTTATTGACTTCCATAGAGTCCTCTGTTCTCCTATTCTTTCCAATACCTCTTCATTTCTAACCTTCTCTATCCACGATATCCTCATCATCCGCCTATAACACCACATTTCGAATGCCTCTAACCTTTTCTTTTCGCCGCGCCCACTGTCCATGTTTCGCACCCGTACAATGCCGTGCTCCAAACATACACCTTTAACAACGTTTTTCGAATTTCTAAATTAACCGTTCGCGAGCAAAGAAGTGACTTATATTATAGAGAAACATTTGTTACATGTGTATCTCAGGGAGGATAGTTTTAAATGCAAAAAACAAAATATGCTTAAAAGTGATGCACTGAAAAGTAATTTTGCCGGGTACCCGATAGCCAGTTAAATACCACCTTCATCAACGTCTAAAACCACATTAATACTCGTCTAAAAAGTCATTTAAAAACTAAACTAATGAAATTTAATTCTTAGTTGGCGAATTTTCAACGAAAGGGTCGAGTTGAAACTGTTAAAACGAGTCTATAATGTTTATAAACAGTATAAAAGTGCAAAGTGACTAAGTTATTTATTACAGGTAAGCATTTGTTAGCACACCACAATATCTTGTAATTTTCAGTTTTACACAGCTGGCGTATAACAATTAGATATTGTTTTGCGGGCTGTTTTGTCGTAATTTATAGAATTTTCATAGTTCCTTGCTAAAGGTACGAAGGTGGTGATTTGGCAGATGCTGATATCAATTTGGAATTTCAAAAATCACATCTCTGGTTATTATTAATCAAAATTTGATTGATCAAGAGAAAAAGTAAATACAAGAATTATATCGAAATAATAAATAATTTTAAACAGTAATCAATAAATACTTAATACAAATTAGAACAAACGATTTACTCCAATACAATCACAATAACGAACTTCCATAAGGTAGGTTTTTTATTATACTTATTATATAATTATTATTGATAGTGTTTTTTTTTGCTGGTACCCGGCCGGATCCTAAAAAGTGTCGGATCTGCCGGGTGCCGGATGCAAGCCGGTATCCGGCTCGTCCCTTTTGAAATTTTTAACTAAATTTTTTTGTGAATACATGGAATCTTCAAAAATGTTTCATAAAATAAGCGGCGACTTTTGTTAAATAAAACAGTGAAATAGCCTTTTGCGAGACAAAATCTGCTACGGATCTACGCCCTAAACTTGCTCATTTCTTTGTTTCCATTCTGCTGTCGGAAAAAAGTTTTTTTTTTGTACCTTATTTTTCTGTAACCCAAGGATGGTCGTAAATCTATCGTTTGCAGTCAATTTCACAAAACACACCGAACCAAAATTTACGACGGGATTATTACTAGAATGCCATGGTGGGCAGAAGGTAATTATTACACTGAAAAGACTCGAAAGGACGAACGCCTGCCGGTCTTACACGTCGTTCAAAGGACTTTAGGACAAAAAGAATGACCTCCGAAGCTAAATGTAAGAAAATTAAACCGTGAAACAGTAAAATGTAAGGGATACTTTTGGAAGTGTTATTGGCTACAGAAAGCGCTTTTACTTTTTAGAAAATACTTCGAAAGGTTTTGAGTACGTGACCTATTGCATGAGTAATAGGTATCGTGAATTTCATAAATATTTACTATTAGGTAATTATCCTTATTTAAATATTTGGCAATGGTTTTGCGACATTGAAACGATAAAAAATTCACAACTGCTCTTAAGTATGCATTTTAAAAAAGTTTCTCACAGTATCTAACTTTAATATATCTGCAAGCCTCAAAATGCCCAAAGACTTAATGTAATGATGTAACTAATGTAATGTAAAAAAGAATTTTTACTCGACACATAAATATGTATAATGCGTATTGCCCAAAATGAAAAGCAACCTTGAATTATGAAATAAATTAAATTCAACTGCTTAGTGCAGGAATTAATTAATTTAACATGTTGTTGTGCTCGTGTTTTTATATATTGTACGTATCCATAAAAACCAAATTAATGGTTGGTTTCATTCTAAATTACTTCCACAGAATGTCTATAAATAAAATGTCATTAAAATACCATCGTCTCTTGTTTCACAATGAAAAAAATAGGTACCTATTTAAAAAACCATTTAAGGTTTTTATGCTGTATATATATCGCAATGTAAAAAAACTTGGCAGACAATAAATAGAAATGGTTTAAAGGACTAGGATCAAAAGAATATCAAAATAGCCCCCAAAACAGTATTATTTTTTTAACTTTATGATTTAATAACTGCGTTGAGGATCACTCCATTAGTTAAACACAATTATTTTGGTAGTCAAACATGGCCTTTTGCCAATTCTTTCCCCATTACTAGCAATATATACCTATTATATATTTCATATTGAGCAAATGAATTTTTTTCTTTTAATTATAGATCCTGAATATCGACATATACGTACCTATAAGCAGATATCCCTGAATCTAAATGGTACTTTGATGCACTCAATATGAAATACTCTTATCAATAGCAATCGAAAATTGGCAAAAATACTCAATATAGTCAAGGTTGAACACCCAAATAATTGTGTTTAACTATTGGAGCGATGATAAATGTTATGAACAATTAAATTTACCTTATGTAGATGATAACCCCATTGGTAAGCAATCTCTTCCATCCAAATGGCACACTGGCAAAAGTTGTTGGAGGTAAAGTTCTTATCAAGGGGGCCATACCGGTTTGCGTTACGGATGTCTCTGAAGGTCCCACTGTTAAAACAACACCTCCTGGTCGCACCCCGACACCACTACCGTCATACACCACCATTTCAGAACTATGCGGTTGCACTATCACTAAATTGTCTTCGACTGAACTTAAACTGCTACAACTCGATTCTGCAGTTTCAGACCGAACAGAATCACATCGCGCGGTTTGCGTAGCCCCCTCGGCACCCATGACACTCACGTACCCCGAATCAGTGGATGCGGTCGCGATAAAATTGTCACACTCCTCGTTTTTTGAATCCGACCTTTCACGTCTATCACTACAATTATCACTGTCGTTGCCGCCAAAATTGCATACATTCTTCACTGCAGGATTCACAAAGCTATTGTTAACTAATGCAGAGTTATTTATTAGGTTATAATCTGACTGCTGTTGAAAACCATTTTGTTGTATCACAGCTTGAGGACCATTACTGAAACAACCATCTTCGGTGACTAGCTGGCCATTGATGGTATGGTGCTCTGGAGGTTTGAGAATTTTATCTTGAAAGGTTTTGTTGGCCCCAACCATGGAGGCCATAGTGTTTGCCGTATTTGAATACACAACATTGCTTGTCTGCACATTTGGATATGAAGCCTGTGAGTTGAACGTGGCCACATTTTGCTGGCTAACAGCGTAAGCCTGGGCAAAATTGCCATCAGATACATACACTACCACATTCTGGACTCCTGGGGCTGCTGACAACTCAGGTTTGCCAGCCATCACGTCTACATTCCAGTGCCCCACTCTTGGAGCCACTTATCAATTTCCAGTAGTTCTGAAAAAAAATAATAAATATAAATAAAGTCATATTTATACAGACTTCAGGATGAAAAAATAATCCAGATACACCCCTTTAACTCCATGAAGCAGTAAGACTTAAAGGTTAAGTATCCTTTAAGTGAAACATAACATTTAAAAGTACAATTGCGCGGTAATATAACAAAAGCTTACAACTAAGCAGTAGTTATAAAAGGTTCGCAATAAATCAAAACGATCATTACTGAATTAAAGCAAAACCACCGACCCCAGGTAAATAATAACTACCCAAATTTATAGACCCCATAAACCTGCCTTCTGGTTTGGTTTATTGCATTTAAAAATTTCACAATAACCTGACCATTATGTACAATTATACAATTTACCTGCATGTCGTTATTATATTACTCGAATGGATTTTGTTTTGGTTTATTACCATCACAATCAATTGTACATGCAGAATGAAAGTTAAAACGACTGTTGTGCCACTTTTTCGTTTAATTATAAAGAAAGACGCGCGGTTTTCCTTTTTCCCTTGGGATAAACTCCAGAAAGTAGCATTTTAACTAACTTTAAACACTTTAAACACCTAAACACTTATTTAAAACACTTTTATTGATAATCGTTGATGCGCTTGATTTCACTGATTCACGTAAAAGTACACACTGAAAATATGGTTCCTTTCTCTTATTCCCAGAAGTCATTGCGAGTAAAATCAAAAACTTCTCATGGACTATCAGGCGGCATCTCTGAATGAGCGGACAAATTAGCCACAATACTTTCTATAGATTTTGAAATTTTAATACAAGTTTCATTAAAGTTTTTGAAGGGAACTTTGAATTTAGTCTTCAACAAATTTTATAAAAAAACACTACCGTCAATATGTTAATTTAACATCCATTTATAAGCAACTATTTTGATAATTTTGATGGAAATGGAACTAATAAAAAGTAAATTAAGCACTACAGTTATAAAATATTTTATCGAACACAATAGCTTTTGCAGAAGGTAGAAATCCTTTTGATGATCAGGAAAATGATTATTTTGATCAATAATTCTAAATTTGTTTAATTTTATTTTTAATATGAAGTTATAAGAACTTCAGATTCCTCCAAGCAATATTGACGAATTTTTTTTTGTGTAGTTAGAAAAGGAAATGAAAAACGGAATATATTTTTAGTACTGTTTGTATTAATAATATGATTAATACTTCAGTGTTACAAATGCCGTAGTCACACGTAGCGAAAATATAATAAGTGACGTTGGTCATCCACCCACAATATAAATAAAACACCATAAAATTACAATCTAAATTTTTCCAGCGTTTTATAAATGACATGAGACAAAGAAGACGTGAAAAGCTTTGCAAAAAATTAGTCTAATTAATATAATATAAAGACGACGAACATCAAACATTACAATCTATTAAATTTAATAAAAAACAATAAATAAACAAGATAGGTGAGAAAAAGTGAACTGAAAAAGTTTAATACAAACCACGGCGACTACATATTACTGAATTCTACTACACATGTGTTGTATTGTAAATAACACGTCATGTACTAATTTTGTTTGAGGATGTGTGACCTTCTGAGACTTTTATGTTAAATATTGCAAGGTTTATTTATTTTAAACCAATAAAGCAGGTACAAAAAGCTATAAGTAGTCATGATCTTCTTTTTTTATACATTTATGTTTTTATTTTTTATTACAATTTCTGCAGATATGGTAAGGTCCTGCCTATTTGAAAATTACCAAACACTATAATTACGAAGTTCTTGAATGGTAATGACCATATCAGATAAGCATAGTGAATGGATAACGATATCCTTCTTTTTATTAATTTTTGAGTAGTGTCGAACTAAAAGTTGAAGTTCACACACCCTGTTATAGGAGAAAAAACACGGAATGAACTTTGAGAAAACAATTTTCAATTGACCTAAGACATCGTTTTTAATTTGTTGCGCACTGGACTCTTTGCCCATGTCCGTGCATGTCGTCGTCCTCATCGTATACGTTCTTGGTACTGCGTCTTCTGGCCTCCTGTTCGGGGTCGAAGGGCAACAATACGCATTCTTCGGCTAAGTCGGAGATCATTATCTCAGGACGTGGAGGCAGGCAATTTTCAAGAGTCGGGATAAGTTCGGGAGCAATAGTATCTGGGAATTTAACCAGGAACTGAATTATTAGGCGCCCCTTTTCAAACGGATTCTTATATTGGGGCATGCCTTCGTTCATAACGCATTTGACGGCTCCATGCTTTGTGACTTCGCCTGGTATAGCTGTGATGACAAGTTCGCGATAGTCCAGGGTCCTGATGACACGTTGAAAACCACATAAAGATTCAACAAGCTCGATTTCCTGATGTATGATAAGATCATTGCCATTTCGCTTGAAAACAGGATGCGGTTTCTCATCCAGGACAATTATAATGTCTCCAGGCTCTAATTCGGGTTCTTGATCACCCTCGCCACTAAAAACTATTTTCTGACCATCAACCATACCCTTGTCCACATTTACTTCTAAAATTTTGCGATCACGAATTGTCTTCTTTCCATTACACTGCTTGCATCTATCCTTTGGATTAATTCTTTCACCTGTTAAATTACATTACATGATATTAGGCTACTAAGTACTATACATATCAGAAAGTTGGGAAAAAGTGGAAAAATATAGTATATTTGAAAATGGTGCACTTTGTTACTTCCTTTATTATTGCATTAGACTGGTTTTTATTAACAAAGGTAAAAATAGATTAAATTAATTGAAGCCAGTTTAGTACAGCAACCGAATGCAAAGTAGCACTGTTTTATTTCATTACATTTTATTTCTGTATTCATTGAAATTTTAGATGCATCTGTTATATTTTTTCATTTTCCAGTAATAAAGGAACTGTGGTGTAAAATGTCAACCAAATCAATACATTTCTTAGAAATTATTTTAATATTTACCTTGCCCCTTGCATTCAGAACAAACTGTTTGAATCTGCTGAATCATTCCTGGTCCTAACTGTTGTACTTGGACTTGCATTCCTGTACCCCTACAAGTAGGGCACTGCTCAGCAGCACCCTTCTTGCCTCCTCTGCCTTCACATTTGTCGCAAATTACATTTTTCTGAAGAGCTAGTTTCCTAACTGCTCCTTTGTAAAGTTCTTCTAATGTGACACTAAGTTGGTGAACAACATCCTTTCCTTTTCTTTCTCTCCTGCGTGCTCTGCCTCCACCAAAACCACCCCCGAAGAACATGTCAAAAAGATCCATGGGGCTGGTAAATGAACTGGCCCCAATTCCACCCTCCTTAAGAGCTTGCTCACCACCTGCATCATAGATACGTTTTTTCTCTGGATCAGACAGTACTTCATATGCTTGAGATATCTGTTTAAATTTTTCACCCTCGTTGGGGTTCTTATCGGGGTGAAACTTTAAGGCCAACTTTCTATATGCTTTCTTCAGATCATCCTGGCTACAACCAGGTTTGACGCCCAGTATATCGTAGAATTTGGTTTCTTTCACCATTATTCTGCAATGGATGGACTGTTTCTAGAAAAGATTATGCCATGTTAGACATGCTTTCAATGATGTCCATACATTAAGTCTTATTTTTTTGCATGTCAAAAATTTAAATTACATATTTTAACATAGTTAATTACTTACTCAATAAAAATATTTATCACAGCTACCAAAACGACGATAATCAATATATTTTAGCTCACAGCAAAGAACAGCACAGCAACGAACAATGCTCACACCAAGAAGACGATCAATTTGTACAAATTTCTAGAACTAAAAGCGGTGCTGACGTTTAAATCATAGAAAGAATGTTCTGGAAGGCCATGTTTTAAAAAAGCATCATTGCCAGAGAAATGTATATTCCTATGATAAACCAAGAAAATAAAATAGTAGCAACATTTTATTTTTATTTTTCTGACTCAAAATCAATAACTAGTATCATAAAAACTTCTAAATGCTTTGTTTTTAATATAATATTTAACTAAATGGTCGTGTTCATTTGCTCTCAATACAACATCCTTTTGAAATTTGGCAATGCTGGTGTTCTATAGTGTTGAACGTCAAAAGATTTGTTTACTCCGGCTAACATAACCTTTAAAACCGTTGATTTTATTTGTGATGTTAAAGTAATTGTATTCTTTTTATTTTAATTTACAATTAATGCTGAACTGTTGTCTGTTGTGCGTACTATGGATCAAAATAAAGCAAGATCCTTATTACGAGAAGGGGCTATTCTCGTTCTTTTGGACGTTCCAGAAGGAACTGAGATGGGCATTGATTTAAAAGTTTGGAATACTGAAGAAAATTTTCGAGGATTTAAGATGATTCCTCCTGGTTTGCACTTTATTTTTTATAGTTGTGTCAGTAAAACTGAAGATATTGCTCCACGACGTGGATTCTTTCATAACTTTAAGAAGTCAGAATTCCTAGTAAAAAAATGGAATAAGGGGAAGGAAGATTTATGCCTTGAAGAAGTTGATAACAAGGAAGTGGTTGGTTTGAAAGATAATTATATTGCTTTAGACAAATTTCTTGGCCCTTATCCATTTGAAATTCACAAGAGATGGTCTGCATTAATTTCACATATAACAAGTATAGAATATGTTTGAATGGTTCTTGTATTCTAATTGAGCTTTAATATTTTTTAGCAAAAGTTTTGGATCGTCATAATCCAATTCAGGGTAAAATAATGTCAGCTATAGAACTTATTCCTTGCTCAGATGCCGATAGACCTCGTGGTATAAAGAAAACTGCAAATTTAGATAGTGCTGGATGTTCAAGCAGCAGCAGCAGTGACAGCAATACCACTGTAAATTACACAAATGCTACGAAGAGGTCAAGACTGAGCTGTCCCTCTGATTTAGAACAAATTCTTTTGCCAAATTTAAAACCTGTACCGGGTTCTGAATTGAGATTTACACCTTTCCCATCAAAAGTTTTTCCAGAAGGTTGTACACCCTCTGAAATTACGAAACATTGCCTGGATTTGACTTATACATTAGAGAATATGCTTACAAGTTATGACGAGTGAGTTCTATTTGTATCTAAACTGAATAATATTGGGTAAACCATTGAAAGGCATCATCTGTATATTAATTATGTAATTTTCAGACCTTCAGAAATAATAGGGGAACTACAATTCTGCTATGTGTGTTTTCTGGTTGGTCATAGTTTGGAAGCATTTGAACAGTGGAAAAAGCTTGTTGGTCTTCTGTGCTCTTGTGAAACAGCAATAAAGAAATACAGACAAGTTTTTGATCTCTTTGTAACTGTTCTTGAAGCACAGCTCAGGGAAATCCCTGAAGAATTTTTAGCTGACATAGTTGCTAACAGTAACTACATATATGTGAAACTGAAAAACTTTTTTGGGGTAGTAGAGGAAAGCGATATAGATGGCAGGTTGAAAACAAAAATCGATCGGTTCAAAAATAGCATTAAGAATTTTTTAAAATGGGATTTTTCATTTACAGAGCGTGAAGATGACGATGATGCACCAGTAATTGTCGAAACTACGTGAATATTGCTTTACAAGAAAATTAATAAAATAAGTTTTTTTATGAATACCTCATAAAATAATTGTTAAATGATTTTGTAAATAAAATTTTAAATAAACAGATGTCTCAATAATCAGACAGTGTTCTTTTTTATTAAGAATATTTACTAAATTCCAACAAAATTCAATCCTTTTAAAACTTACTTGAAAAGTTTGTCCTTTAAAAACTTATTACCAAGAATTAAAACATTTAAAATGTAAAAAAAAGGATCTAGAATAATTGGATGTAAACAGATTTTGAATCTCAATTAATATAAAAAGCATAGGCAGTTCAAACCGATAAATACGAAAACGCACAAAAATAAAGAAGCGCTCGTTATTTTTCACCCCTTAAAAACTTGTTCATAAAACATTACAAGACTTAAAACGCGTAAGAAAGAGTCTAGAATCCGCTGGTATCAACAGATTTTGAATCCCGATTGAAATAAAAATGATAACGCAGTCTTAACTGATAAATAAAAATGCGCAAAAATATAATAGCGCTCGTTACTTTTCAGCCCCTTAAAAATTTACCTAAGAAACACTAAAAGGCCTAAAACGTGTAAAAGAGGGTCTAGAATAGTTTCTTGTAAACTAATTTTAAATTCCTATTAAAACCAAAAAGATACGCAGTCTAAATGGATAAATATTATGAAAATGCGCAAAAATAAAATAGCGCCCGTTACTTTTCAGCCCCTTAAAATCTTGTTTACAAAACATCAGAAGATTTAAAACGTGTAAGAAGGGGTCTAGAATTCGCTGCTATTAACAGATTTTTAATCCTGATTAAAATAAGAAAGATACGCAGTCTAAACCGATAAATATAATAAAAATGGGCAAAAATAAAATAGCGCTCGTTAATGTTCATCCCCTTAAAAACTTATCTAAGAAACACTAAAAGGCCTAAAACGTGTAAAAGAGGGTCTAGAATCGTTTGGTGTAAACTGATTTTGAATTCCGATTAAAATAAAAATGATATGCACAAAAATAAAATAGCGCTCGTTATTTTTCACAAAAACAGGTGAAGTATGACATGATGATGCAGGTGAACAAAAATAACATAATCATACAAATAAAATAATTGCTTAAGACACAAACAATTTATACAAGAATTCAATCCCTAAAATAATTTTAGAACATTAAAAATAATATGCAATGAATCTTTTAGTGATAAAAATATTTGCGTCCAGATGAAAATTAAAAGACATGTTATACAAAATCATGCAAAGAAATGCATAAACTCTCTATTAATTTTTTTAGAGCATTAATAATCTTTTAAATGAAAAACATTCTTATTAAAGTGTTTTAATTCAAGGAATGTAATACATCACAGAGAGATCTACTTAACATTCAAGGTAGAGATATTTTACTTGACATGTTTTCCAGAAAACATTAACTTGTTGTTTCTAACAGCAGAGTGGAGAAAGTACACTGACGATGAGAAAATAAAATACTACTCTTCTCGCTCGCATTATTTTTGAATTGCACCGTACATACAAAACTAGCCCGCACCCCGATTATAAGAAGTGGCATCTTATGCAATAAATGCAATTACATTCTTAATAATAACAAAAGTAATAATAATCAAACTACATAGTGCAAATATGGACAAAATTATTGTAACAAACACATGAGAATACAAATGTATGCAAATACGTATTTAGTTGTCAATTTTTTATTTGAATGGATAAATAAAAAATAATTATTGGGAAAAAATCGAAATTTTCTAATTTGTTTTCTATTTAAAAAAAATTACGAAGAACCAGAATACTTGCCGTAGCCTAAGGGAGGGTATTTTAAATTACTGTTGCTTGATTTATCAGTTGAATATTTAAGGGTAGGTATGTTGATGTTTGCCTCCGAATTTAATTCCAAAATTTTTTGAAGAACTTCCTGCTTTTCGGTGTATGCGTTCTGAGAAGTTTCCTTCACTTTATCAACCAGTTCTGGATTCTGGGTTAATGTATCAGTTAATGCTGATATTAATACATCTGGAACAAAAAATTCTAGTTGATTTTTACTTTCGTTGTTTCTTGGTAGGACATTTTGGATTTGGCTATAAAATATAAAACACTTCGAATAATTCATGTATTACTTGCTCCTAAGAAGTACTTAAAAAATGAGAGTAATTGTAAAAACTCGAAGGATTTGGTCTTTGTAAGTATTTGATCAATTTTTGAAATTCTTCTGCAATGGAGAACGGAAATGGCAACGGCAACGGAAATTGCGTGCGCAGATCGTGGTCCACGCTAGAAATCGATCGACAACGCTTCACCAACCCAAAAAGCATCAATTAATTTAATATTTAATATGTTTTAGAGAACGGCATTTATAAAATTACAAATTGTTATTCATACCTAAAACTTTCTTTTCCAAAGCTCTCGAGATATGTCCTTGTTCAGCCTCCGACTCCAGGAATATAATGAATTTATGAAAAGCCTGTTGGGCTTCAATATTATCTTTTGTTAAAGATTGTTTAAACATTATCTTTGCTAGTTGATAAATTATTTCTTCCAACGAATACTCGGTGTACAAGAAGTCAGCTATCTTAAGTTTTTCCAATAGTTGTTCGTATTCGTTTTGTTTTGGATCGTCATCATTTACTTAAACAGTAAACATTCAATAATTTTCGTTATGGGCTATTTTCCATTCATATTTCTTACCTTCATAACCACTAAATTCGTCTGTAGCACTCTTTCTTTCTTCCCTTTTAATTTTTTGAAAGTCAAAGATTTGTTGGTCATAGTTTGAATTGGCAGATCTCCCTTTTTGAAAATTTAAATTCGAACTATAGCGTGGCGATGTGTTTTCAATGGCCTAAAAGGTGTTACGAAATAAAAATATTGATTTCCTTTTCGGGAATTTATAGTGTAACTTACTTTATATTTTTCTTGAAGGTTTAGACCTAGCTGGTTATAACGCGATTCTAGATAATCTAGATTATTTTTGATTTCTTGTAAAAACGATATGGCGTCCTGACGGCTAATCTAAAGAAGAAAAATGGAAGATAAAGCTCCTGGTGATTTTAATTTCACTCTATAAGAACAATCAATAAGACTTACTAGTCTTTCATTTATAAACTCCTCTACAGCAGAGGTAACACCCTTTTCATCTCCTGTCCAAAAAATGTATTCTGCCATGTCAAACGGGGTATACTGAATACCTGGAAGGCTTTGCACCTTGAAAAGACGTTTTGTAAACGTATTTATACCAAACCGATAAAATAAAATACGATTACGAACAGTACAAATTTCTGGGAAAAAGTTAATGATTTTTGGAGCTGTTAAATCTTCTTCTTTACATATAAAGTACCTATGCATAAATTCCTGGGTAGAGATTAGGGATAGGAATTGTTCATATTTATATACATATTTAAATATTTATTTGGAAGTTGTTTCGAATGACTAAATTATGCGATACCTAAATATTAGCAAATTTTAATGTATTTGAACAGTCAAATATTCGAATATTTAATGAAATATTTAACTATTTTCAATCTTGGTATACAGTGACTTAAACATTCACTATTAAAAAAATAGAAATTTAAATTTTCATTANTTAAAATAATTTTCTTCAACGTTTTTGTTATTAAGGAAATTCAAATACTTCAATATTCGAATACTACTCCTGGCCTTAGTTTTGATATATTAAAATTATCCTGACAATATTGAACACTTCCGGGTTCAACCGACGAGACTTTAACCGTTTATGTAGTAAAAATTCTTATAACAAACTTTGTACACAATAAACGGTTTTTATTAAGTGATAAAGGCGGAGATATATGTACATAAAGTCTTGTTTCAAAGTGATATAAATTTAGAAAATCCTTAACATAAACAGGATTATAAAACCGACTGTATGATGTTCTTCCAAGAATCTACTACTTCATATAAGGATGAACTTTAGAAATTGTTGTTATTCAAAGGGTTTTCCGCTTCATATCACTGGTAGGTTATTTTAAAAGCTTGTGATATGAATAAAAACATAGAAAACGTATTATATATTTTTAGCATGTTCGTAAAAAAATTGAGTAGCTGTCGTCTGCAAAATTACTTCGTACATTGTACATAATATATATTTAACATCTTAAAAACAGCAACTAATGTTATTCTGGATTAAATAGCGTGCCTGTAAAATTATAAGTAGGTAAAATGTTACTATAGCATGTTGTTGTCGTTTCTCATAATGCAAGTTTAAAATTTTTTGCTGCACTCGAACTAACGTTATGAAATATAATTAATACATAAATAACAAAAGAAGCAAAAATTACAATATTGTTCTTTAAATAGTTCTAATTAACTTGTAATTTGTACATTTACTTTGAATTTTGCTTTGAATAAATATGGTACTAATAAACAAAAAAAAAATGACTTAAGCATCATTGTTAAGAAGGAGTGACAGTATTATTTTCTGGATAAAAGGTATCCTACATATGTCCTTTTCTGTACTCCTAACACAAAATTTCCTGATAGGTTTTACCCACGATTTCCCTCTCGTTGATGTTCTAAGTACTTATCAAAGATCATGTCAAATATATCACCATTATGTAGTACCAACTTCAAGGGTCACTTTCACCCATTAAAAATGTTTTTCCGAAAATACGTATCTCATTATTTTTAATGTGGATTAACATATTACAACCGCTAGTAAATAGGCGGCGGTCACCTCGGAAGGTTTTTTTGTAAAAGTATTTTTCTTTACCGATGTGAATGGATGAAGTAACGAACTAAGTCGATACTTATTGATAATAACATCTTCTATCGTACAAGTTTATCTTGGAAGATGCTATTAAACTGTAATGGTTTTTCTTTTCTTTGTTTATTTGAATTCACTACAAAAAGGTGTGATGGGGTAACTTACCTCATTTTCTTTATTCAAGACTTCGTTCCCGGAAGCCTTTTTCTTCAAGGTTTTTTGTGTCCTTTGGGGAGGTATTTCCTGAACGACACTTTTATGTACCCCTTCTGATGGTATTTCTAGATCAGTCTGTATCCTTGCCATAGGACGTTGATTAAAATCTTCAGATTTGCTTTCTATCCGCTGCTGTACACTTGCAACGAGTTCTCCATCTTGATTAACTAAATTATCAATTTTATCACTCATTCTAATAGAAGATGCGATGAATAAAATAAATGGACGATTTCAAAATCAACAAACTCACTGATTTCTCAACATATCATACCGAATCAATGCTCTCTTTAAAATACTATTGATGCAAATAATTCAGGAGCATAGCCAGTTTTTTTGGACGGCTTAGGGGTGGAATACACCCTTTTAATCTTTAAGTTTCATATAACCAAAGACGCCTCGGGTTCCGTAATAATAGTAAACTAAAACCAAAATCTCCCTTAACTGAAAACGCCTTTAGTTCCGCAGGAAAAAAAAAGAATGTCTCAGACCGCACGTTTATTTCCTCCCCTGGCGAGCATGCTGTTTTTCACCACCTCTCAGCCGGAAAATGAAATTTTCTTGACTACCTAAATAATTTAGCAGTTATGTTTACTGAGAAAAATCGCAAGAAACTCTCCATGTGGAGATTCGGACAAAGAAATAAATATTTTTATATTATTCAATAAAACAAATGTTCAGGGTGAGCCAGCACATGGCATATGTCCCACAATTTTCGATGCATAGGCCTTATTACTTACAAGTCAAAGAAATAATTATTGTTGATCGATTTGGTGTCAATGAGCTATTCGACTTAAAAATCGCCATTTATTATATCGATCTTTATATTTATAGTGAAAAAAAAGGGTGGCGACGCTACCTACATTAATTTGGTCTCATGCAGTATTTTAGTATTATGTCTTGTTATAATTATAAATAAAAGTAGAAGGCTATTAAATATAATATACTTTTACTAATGAAAAAAATATAATATTAAAATAATAGGGTACTTTAGCTGCTTTTATTTATTTGTCTAAATAGTCGATAAGAGAGTAAATATATTTTGTTGAGGATTTTCAATAATGGAATAAAATTCGCTTTAGGACCTTCCTTCGTGTCTACTAAAGTTCAAGATCAATTAATTAACGGAAAAACTAAACATTGGACACTTAAATCTGACTTATTTAATGAACTGATCGCATTAAAATCAACCACCCTGTTATTGTTTAAATGATTATATAAACGAATTGATTAAATAACAATCACAAAATAGATTAAAGTAATCCTTTTTACGTAAACTTTCAAATGAAGCCATTTCTAAACATGATTCGATTAAAGGCCTTTGTGTTGACAAATATATTTAAGAAGCAGGATTATGTTTATTTATACAATGAAAAGTACAATATTTTCTATTAAATTTATATACGTATACCTAGATACTAGCGGTATAAGGTACTTACTAGTTTCTTTTTTGTCAGTGAAGGTTTGAATTTGACCATTACTTTGTGACAATTCAGACGATTGAGTCTTGACCATTTCCAACGTTTTGTCTGGTAACAAAGTAATTAATTTATAGCGTATAAATAAACCGCGAAAATTACATTTCCAATATGTGAGTAGTGGCATTTCGATCATCTCGATTGCGGTAATAATCGATTGGTCAATAATATATGCTTTTGAAAACCACAAGAAGCGTATTTTCTGACCTGTATGGTAGGTACTTCCCCGATATAAAATAATGTAGTAATGTGACGAAATTTGTATATTATTATTATTAATAATTGCTTATGGCTGAGTATTTGTCATTATGATTTGAAGGTATAGACAAAGTAAATGAGTGAAATCTTAAGCAAGCACCAATTTAATTTTGTGATTTTTAGGTTACTTTTGTTGAGGCCACATTCTAACTTTACTACTATAATTGTTACAAACACCCGGTATCTTAAGCAAGGCATGCGTAATGTCGAATATGACTCCCAGTCAAGTACTCTGGAAAAGTCTTTTATGGACTATATCGGGTGACGGCGACGGAAAATTCGGAAAACAACCGACGGTTGCAGGAATAAACAAACTTTCGTGGACAAAAATGACGCGAACGAAGTTGCAACTGTTTTTTTTATCCATTGTTACAAGAATTACATTGTTACTTTGAGTTTATTTCACATAATAAAGCTGGGCATCTGTAATTAAGTTAAGACTGGTTTGGATATTAAATTTTATTCGTTTTGCTTATCTTTAATTTTAATAGCATTAATACGGATTATATTTCCCTAATAAAACAGAAGATGAAAATTTATGTGGGTAGTTTTGCAAACATTTTTTTTTGTATGCATGCAAAAGCACTGTGTACTACGATACTGTAAATTTTAAATCCTGGCACGTTCTTCTATTTACATCAGATACATTACTTTAATTCTTTACACGGGAAATCGATAGAGACAATACGATTCAAGGTGCAGAATCAAGGGCAAGAGGCCCAGGGACAAATAATATATATCTATAGATATACATGCAAATAAAAAGCGTGGGTGGTGAATCCATTCGGTGCCCAAATCGTAATCGCCTACGCGACTTTTAAACAACGACGAAGTTTGCCAGTTTTTAATGGCATCGCAAAATTGGACGACCTCTTTGCGTATTAATTTGATAAAAAGAAATTAGCTGCGTATGAAAAAAGAAAAAAAAAACAAAGCACGTACTTACACAGAACATTTTGCATACCTATTTTTTTAGGGTTCTGTAAGTCCGAAAAACAAAGGAACACTTACAGGATCAGTCGTGTGTCTACCTGTCCGTCTGTCACAGTCAGTTTACTCCGAATATATATGAATTTCTGTGACCCCAACATGGACGCATAACGTAAATAAATTAATTTTGAACATAGGGGTCATTTTTGGGGGTCCAATAGGAAATTAAAAGAAAAGTTTTGGAAACTGTACCGTGTGACATATCAAATGAAGGGGCTTGTTTTAAGGGCTCAAATTTATTTTTTTTTATAATTTTAATATAAATAGTTTTAAAGTTATTTAAAAAAATAAATGAAAAATCACCATCCTCTCCTTATCTCCGAAATTGCTTAACCTATACTTGGATTGGGTTCCGTACGTTCGAATGGAAAGCGGAACCCTTATACCCGTGCGTCTGTCTGTCCGTTTTCTACTCTTAACAGTTATTTTGATGCACTGTGATTTCGTCAAAAAATATTTAAGTTTGTCACGAAATCGCACTGACTACGATGAATCAAAATCATAACATAACATTAAATTACAGGAAGTATTTTGTGTAAGTGGTTTGTTTTTCATTCATTCTCGTAATGACATTTAATGAAAATCGTAGACTATAATGTTAAAATTAATTTAATCAAGTTGGATTTTACTGTATGCGTAAAGAAAGGGTCTCAAATTGTGATTAATAATAGGTTTCCTTTTTCTTCTGTCTTAAGTATGCGCAAAGTTACTATAAGGAAGCCAAGTGCGTGCGGTGCCCCGGGTGAATGTTATTAGAATATTTTTACATTTCATTTTATCCACATTTGTTTATTGGAAGATGTTAACAGGAAAAAAAGATTCTTCGTAACGAAGAAACAATCACTAATGGCTAAATATGGCTCATAAAATTAATTCCGAATATAACTGGAACAGACACATTACACGATTTCACCCTACAGGTCAAATTGCTAACAAGTCGTGTAGCTCTCGGGCACCGTCATAAAACGCAAATGCGATGCTTTGTTCAATATAGGTTTTGTTTTCAGCTTTGATACTATCCTCATGTTGGATCCTATATTAGGATGAATATTTGTTTCCTTTTATATAATTTTAAAGCAAAAGAAAAAAAATAGTGTTTCGTACCCAATCTGTCCTTTAAGTTCTCTAATTCTCGCTCGTTGGCGTCCTACAGGAAAAAATACAATTAGTTTACATGCCATACAAATGAAAATGTATCTTACTTACGGTAACGTACTCTGTAGCTTGAGAGTTACCTGGAAAAAGTGATGCCCAAATACGATTTAATATTTTAAGATTACCCTGTTATTAAGACTTACCCATCTGGGGAATCGATGCTGAAGAGACAAGCTTCCTATCTGACTTCGACGTGATAATGAATATAAAAATTGCGAAAGGGATGAAATCCATTTTCAAATTCTGAAACAAAGGGGCGATTTTATAAAGTCATACAGTTAGGTTTATAAATTAAACATTTGTAACTCAATATCTATAAATATAGAGGCCAAAGTGTACGATCTTTTGACGAAAAAATTAAACAACATCTCCAAGTTTATGCGGTGATTCACATAAAAACTATGTATGTAATAAGTCAGAAGGTGACCATATGGGTGAAACGATTAGCAAAAGATTAAAATTTCATGGTGAAAATTAAGTTGAGTTATTTTTTATCTTATTTAAAAACAGTTCTTGAGGACAAAACTTCTGTAAATGCTATGCGTCACATCATTAAAGGCATATGAAGTTTTAATTACATTTGTTAAAGTAGATAAGGAATTTTAATGTATGTGTAACACAACCCGAGTTTGGTGGATATGAATTGATAAATGCTAACAAGTTTCATAATCCGGCAGTTACATGCTACAAGTCAATTGTATGGTAATAATACGCAAGTGGAAACGGAAACGAAGATATTTTAAACTGATTATTTATTAATAACAGTTTTACTCAGTTCCAAATTAATTACGTTTTGGGACAATTGTTTCGTACAGTTCAGTTAATAAGTAGTAATGAAATTTTTAACACTTTTTATTTTTTTAATAACTCTCTTCAATTGTGACTGTGAAGTTTTAAATTTACCCGCACATTTGAAAATAGGGGTTGCTACTTCTTCATATCAGATCGAAGGAGGATGGGATGCAAACGGTAAGATATATTATACAAGATTTTTCTATGAAATGATTGCGAAAACTTTAAAGCGGCTATTCAGCGCTTCATAACTTCACAAAATTAATTAAAAAATTTGGCGAGTTAATAAAATAGCACGAAAAGCACGCTAATTATAAAAACTGAAAAGAATATGACCCAATATACCTGTAATACATTGGACAAATCGTTCGAACTTTGAAAGTATAAATCAAGGAACACCCATTACCCTTCCTCCTGATACACAATTGATATATTTTTAATTACGGTCTGGATTTCTCTTAACAAAGAACAGATAGACTAAAAAGATTGTTGTCGAGTTTTACTTTGAATGATTGTTTTACAATAACCTCAGTTTTTGTTTTCTAATCTTTATTAGTGTTCACTTTTTCAATTTCTCTTCACTAATTGTTGGTTAAACAGGAGTCAGTCAACTGCTTATGTTAGAACACAGATGTTGACTGTTAGAAATCGTTAGCAGGATTTTTGCTTTGACGGTAAAATATATGAATATTTGTCACGCATTGAAGTATTTTGTCAGTGACTCTTTTACGTAACTAGAGAAAATTTAGTACAATATAGAACTGACCAATAGAAACGAATTTGGCATTTCCTAAATTAAATTGCTGAAATTGCCTAGCGCGTGCCGTATACTTCTTAAATAATAAAGGAAATTATTTCTTTCAATCGGTTAACGAATTATTCCTTTAGGAAAAGGTGAAAGTATTTGGGACCGTTATACGCACATAAAGCCCAGTCTGATTATCGACAATTCGACTGGTGACGTCGCCTGCGATTCCTACAACAAATGGAGAACGGACATCGAAATGGTGAAGCATTTAGGTGTCGACTTCTATCGATTTTCTCTCTCCTGGCCTAGGATACTTCCTTCAGGATTTAGTAACACGATTAACCCAGACGGTGTTCGCTACTATAATGATATTATAAACGAATTAATAAAGAACAGAATCGAGCCTTTAGTCACCCTTTATCATTGGGATTTGCCGCAACCGCTCCAAGATATTGGCGGATTTCCTAATCCTATATTAGCTGACTATTTTCAGGATTATGCCAAGGTAATAACTTGTGATGAACGAACAGATAATCACTTTATTTGTAGTTAAAGTTTAAAGCATTCCTTAATTAAAGAAAGTTATTAAAGTAAAATAAAAATATTAGTGTGCAAGGAATAAAAGAGTATGGAAAGTATGATACCTTCTTTGGTACATATCCACTAGGAGTCACATAATTTTCGATTTTATACCCTAGTAAATTTCCTTCCCACCGTCGATAAAGGAGTTTCACTTCGAACAATCGCTTATTCAATGTGTAATTGTCTAGGTTGCTTTTGAGTTGTTTGGAGACCGCGTGAAAAGATGGATTACATTCAACGAGCCACCGTCTATATGTGTTGAAAGTTTCGAAGATGCAAACACCACTGCGGCTAAAGCGCCGGGTTTTCAATCACATGGTATTGGATGTTATCTATGCGGAAAGACGTTGTTGATGGCACATGCAAAAACATACCATTTATATGATAAAATGTTCCGACCCCAACAGGAAGGTACTAATGCAAAGATTTACTTTTATACCAAATGGTAATATATGTAAGAACCAATACTCAACAACCATAAATCATTCTCTAACAACTGCGAACATTCGTATTAAAAGGATATACGAACAGAACAATGAAATTTTACTGTACATGACTTTTAAACAACAACCTACCAAAAGAAATGCCAAATGAAAATTAAGCAATGTTTTGTTTTGGGATATTAATTTAAAAAAAAAACATCTTGAATATCTATTTTTCAATAATGCTTTACAACAAGTTTCTGGAATAAATACGATACGATAGTTTCGTATTTCCTTTCAAGAATTGTGTATCTATATGAATTAAATTGTTTACTTTAAGATGTTCATTCAGGACAAAATAGTCTCTGAAATAAATAGCAAGCAAGACGCTATAAAACAAAAGAATTAAGTAAACGTTTAGTGGTCTAAAAGTCCACCTTTTCGAGAAAAACGTATTTGAAAGTACAGTCCGGCCCTGGCAGGGTTATGCAGGGAAAAACGACATTTAAACGACTGCAGCATCCGTGTTGTACGAGTATTTCTTTTGTATTTTTTTTGTGTTCTTAATACCATGTCGAGCTGTACTTTAAATAGTATTCCATACTATCAGCGATGAACAAAGTACTTATTTAATTAATTATTGCTATCGCATTGGACGTCTAAAGTTTATTAAGTGTAGCAGCGTAGTAGTAAAATGTTGATATTTAGTTTATTAATCGTTCCACAACTGTCACTGTTTACATTTTTCATCGATGTAGTTGCTTAATTGTTAATGCTATTATTCTATATTTACCAATTCACGCCCAGGGTCGGCTTCGGAAAGTAACTTTGTTTTCTTACGATTTCTTTAAACTTTAACCACGTTGTTGTATTGAATCTAGGTAACACCTTGCAAAGCTTGCTAGTTATTTCAGAAATACGCAGTTATTATATTTGCATTCTGGATCTCGTTTAGACCATACCAAGATACAATAAGATTTTTAATATTTTAAATGATTGTAGGTAAAATAGGAATTTCAGTTAATTCGCCTTGGTACGAACCACAAACAGATTCCATAGACGATAAAATAGCTGCTGAAAGGGCCATCCAAATGAACGTAAGTTTATTTTCGCATTTACATGTTCTTTACTGATTTTTAATGAGTTCTACCATTCCATAGCTATTGTTTACTTTCGAAAGTTGAAGTGCGTTGTTTATCACATATTATTTCAAGATAACGTTCTGACTTTTTCAAAAAGGTTTCATCGTTCCAATCTACTTAAAGAAAACAAAAAGAAAGGTGTTAAATATTAATCAAAAATATTTATTTTCTACAATAACTGTTCAGGAAAAATAATAATTAACTAGTTCTGAATTCAACGAAATGATCGTCTCAAAAATAATAGTTTTACATATATTTGATTACTAATTAATAAATTTTAAATTCTGCTCAATCATTACTATCTCGTCCTAATTTTTTTCTTTGTTAAAAGTACGGTTGGTGGGTCCACCCCATTTTATCGACAACGGGAGGCTATCCCCCTTTAATGCAGGAAAGGATTGATGCGTTAAGTAAAGCTCAGAATTTTTCCCGTTCACGATTGCCTCCTTTAAGCGAAAAGGAAAAAAGGATCATAAAAGGAACTGCCGATTTCCTGGGACTCAATCATTACAGTAGCACATACGTGACGTCAGGCATTACACCACCCAAAAATCCTCCGTCCTTTAAGGAAGACGTTGGAGTCAATATACGTTATGGAGGAAGTGCTACAGGATTCAGAAAATTACTAAATTGGATTAAGGAGATGTACAAAAATCCGTTAATTTACGTTACAGAAAATGGGGTCGCAGATAAGGGGAGTGCTCTAAATGACACTAACCGAATTACATTTTTAAGGGTAATTTAATAATAATTCGTTTGTTTCTTTATAATTTTATTTAGATAGCTTTATTGTACTAAAGTGAACTTGTGACTAATTAGCAATGAACTTTTTGTTCAGAATTATATGGTACAATTGTTGAAAGCTATAGAAGATGGGGTCAATGTCGAAAGGTATACAATATGGAGCCTCATGGACAATATGGAATGGAGTCTTGGCTACACGTAACATCAAATATATGCAAACGTTCGAAGGGAATTTTATTTTATTCAATATTCTTCGTTTCAGAATAAAAATGGGACTGTATCATGTCGATTTTTCTGACCCTGGAAGAACACGTACAGCGAAATCGTCCGTTGAATTTGTAAGAAATATCACGAAAAACCGAAGAATTGTGTACGAGAATGAAAATGTAGAAAATGAAAACAATAGGGACAATTTATTTACATTTCCTATACACTTAGTTCAATAAAATTAGTTGTGCAATTGTATAACTTATGTAGAATCACTTTTGAATAGACCATAAATAAAAGTCAAATTGATGTAAAAAAAAAATGAGTGAAGTTGAGAATTTTTCAAATAGTTGTTCGTATTTTGATCATACTGATTACAATCACGAAAATAATATTGCACGTAATCAAACATCAAATAAATGCAATTGCTTAACTTCAATAATAATGACCCTGACACGATAAACCTGTTATTGTGATCCGTGGAATCGAATTTCACGATAGTCCTTGTAATTTTGATTGAAAACAGAAATTAATTGAGAAGTTTCGTGCTACGTGCACACAAATGCATTTAGAGAGATACAAGACTACTCAACCATGACATAGTGATTGAAGTTCAATACAGGATGCCCAACAGGTCCGACTGAGAGAGTCAATGACAAAGAATCCATTTGTCTACATTATGAAACATTTACAATCCAAAGCGACAGTAATAAGTTAAAAAAAAAAACGATAAAAAGGCATTCTTACGAAATTCTTTATCGGCAGTACATTCTACATGGTACATGGTTGTTACTGGTTTAAGAAAAAGGCAGAAACGTAGATCGCTACGAAAATTTTGAGATATATAGTAACAATTCATTGGACAGGTGGACAGGACAAAGATCAGTATAATTAGTATGTGAGATATTGTCTGGTGAAGTGTTTACAATGGCAGAATTATCTAACATATCAAAATTTCTGTGTGACTATACTTGTTTTGGCTTTGAGTCCTGAGGGGTGTGTTGAGGAAATGTCAGCTATTTTTCAAGTCCAATGCCCAATGTATCGGTGGTACAAACAGTTTCAACAGGACTTGTTTAACCTTGAGAAGAAAGAACGTTCAGGAAACCCACCTGATTCTTTTGCGCAAGAAAAATTAGCTACTGTGGAAAAACGCGTGATCGAAAATAAAGAAATTACGTATAGTCCGATCGATGAGACTTGAATGATCCAGATCCTCATCATAAGGTCGTCAGTTCTAAGACTGATGGTTGGACACGCACCTCCACTATTTCTTATTCTGAGCTAATCTTCGCATTTCCCTAAAACTAGAGCAACCCATATCCTTAATTATTTACCAACAGTAATCTAATCTAGGTCTATCTCTACCCTTCCTAACGTTTCTGCCTCTAATATGTCTCTGAGTAGACCTTCGTGTCTGAGAAGGTGTCCTACCTACCTATCTCGCCTATTTCTTATTGACTTCCATAGAGTCCTCTGTTCTCCTATTCTTTCTAATACCTCATCATTTCTAACATTCTCGATTTACGATATCCTCATCATTCGCTTGTAACACGAAGGCGACTGCGCTGTCCTTTGCTTTATATCCCTATCACTCCTTCCGTCCCAACTTATTCCTAGATACCTCAAATCGGTCACTTCTTCTAAGGATCCAGATTAGCAAAGGGAAATAAGAATGAAATGGTGTCGGGACTAGTTGAAAATGTTTAAGTCTGAGCACTCTGCGTGCGTACATTCTAGTCACATGTGACGAAACGTAGCCTTATTATTACGTCCTGTCTAAATTCCGAAACAATATTTGACTATTTGAAAATGAACCAACGCTAGTCTCTGTTAAGAAAACCCGCTTAGTGAAAAAGAAAATGATCGTTGTTTTCTTTGGAGAAAGGGGAATAACTAAACAAATTGTATTTGAACAACAAAAGACGGTTGCAGCAAAGTGGTATGCCGAATACTGCTTGCGTCAATTAATTATAAAATAAAGACAATTCGTTCGGGTTCCAGGTTAGATAGCTGGTACCTTCACCATAATAATACTTTGGCATACAAAACAATCGATTTCCTGAATGCTTCTAGATTAACTATACTCAGCCATCCGCCCTACAGTCCTGATCTCGTTCTTTGTGATTTTAGTTTGCTCCAGATATCAAAGGCGTATGGACTGTAATAGAAATTATTTTGAAAAATTGCAGAAACAGAGTACGTATCTCAGAACTTTCGTAACAATTGTATGTTTAGCTTTTACATATTTATAAAACAGAAATTTCGAAGATTTTAAATATAACTTTTAAATAGGGAGAACAAAATTTGTGGAACTTAATTGAATACATTTTTTGACAACTGTTTTGACTAACAAACTATTGACAGACTAAAGTAAATGGTACTTAGGATTTGTTGAATAAAAGCACATTCTTAGTCCATTTTAATATCAATCATGTTAAACGTAAAGGCATTTATGTAACTATAACTTTAGAAGAACAAAAAAGGGATAGGGATAATATAGTTTATGCAATTTAGGTTTGTATTGTCTCATTGCGTTTTTCTCAAAAATGTGTTTGAATTTCAAAATGTTTGGTGTATCTTTAGTATACATTGAAAAAGCTTTTTACAATTCCTAATAGCATTTTCACTAACCCTTTTTGTAACAACAAATTAGGGACACTTTTCGGGGTCGATGCTCGCTGTAGAAAGAGACTTCATATTGCACTTCCTAGCGATATAAATCAACTAGAAATCAGCTCTGAACTTCCTTTAAGCAAAGGTATTTGAGGAATTCATCCAGGAAGTAATTTCACATTGTTCCTTTTGCTTCGGTTGCTAGTAGGCAATGCGCAAGTTGTGGTAATTCCAGTTGTAAAGTTGTGCTTTCGATGTTGTCGTCGTTGTACGTAATACGAGGGTGGATTGATAAGTTTCCGGCCTAACCAAGAGATGACGCCACTAGGCCTACCTTGAGGTGACATTCTATAGTACCATCCTTGGATAGCTTGTAGCTATAGTTTCAGCCCGATCTCCTTGCTAGTGTAGGTTTGACAGCACGCTGAACAAGACGCCTCTGTGGTTTTCGTAAAAATGGAAAAGCAGGAAAATCGTGCTGTCATCAAATACTTTTATTTGAAGGGGTTAACGCCGAAGGAAATTAAAAAAGAGATGGACTCAACACTGGGGACATCCTCCCCGTCATATTCAACCGTTAAGCAGTGGGTTTCCGAGTTTAAAAAGGGTCGTGTGAGCACCTCTGATGGGCCTCGCTCAGGACGCCCCGTTGAGGTCACAACTCCAGATATGATCGAAAAAATTCATCAAATAGTGCTGGGAGACCGCAGATTGAAAGTGCGTGAGATAGCTGAGACCTGTAAGATGTCATATGAACGTGTGCAACATATTTTGCACCAACATTTGCATATGGAAAAGCTCTGTGCAAGATGGGTGCCGCGTTTGCTAACAGTCGACCAAAAATTGATTCGAAAAAACATTTCTACCGCAAATTTGTCATTGTATAAGCGTAATCCAAGCGAATTTTTGCGTCGATTCGTAACCGTTGACGAAACGTGGGTCCACCACTACACTCCTGAAACCAAAGAACAGTCTAAACAGTGGATTGGACCAGGGGAACCAACTCCAAAGAAGGCAAAAACAATTTTTTCGGCGAACAAGGTTATGGCTACTGTTTTTTGGGATGCAAGAGGTATTATATACATTGATTACCTTGCAAAGGGTAATACTATCACTGGTCAATACTACGCAGACTTATTGCAACGTTTGAGCCACGAGGTGAAAATTAAACGACCTCATCTGGCGAAGAAAAAAATCTTGTTTCATCACGATAACGCACCAGCGCACACGTCAATCGTTGCGACGGCTAAAATCAACGATCTAAAGTTTGAATTGATGCCGCACCCTCCTTACTCTCCAGACCTAGCCCCGAGTGACTATTTTCTGTTCCCTAATCTCAAAAAATGGCTTGGCGGTAAGAGATTTGCGGACAATGAAGAAGTAATCGAAGCTGTAAATGGTTATTTTGAGGAGCTTGACGAATCAGTCTATAGAGATGGCATTAATAGACTGGAACACCGCTATGAGAAATGTATCAGCCTTGGAGGAGATTATGTTGAGAAATAAAAAAAAAAAATTTTTAAAAACCTTGTTTTTCTTGGTCAGGCCGGAAACTTATCAATCCACCCTCGTACGTAATATTGTATTGATGCGCTGCTGTTTCGTATTTTGACCTCTCCTGCAGATCGTTCACCTAATACCTATGAGAAGCAACCGGTAGCTACCCTCGCGTTTATAGGTCATTGCAGATCGGGGATGAATTGGGTCGAACAAATTAACAACCGACAGGAAAACAGAAAAATCGAATTGTACTCTGGTAACACGGACATTTGAACAAATAACGCACTCAAATTGATTAACGAACAACCGAACTTTATCATTAGCGATATTTTAACAGTAAACTGATCCTAATTTGCGGATTAATTTTCCTGATTTTCTCAAGGGTGTCGTTGTGGTAATCCCTAAATGTCAAATGGAGAATTGTAAATAAAAATCTAATGGAAAGTTGTCAAATAAAACCGGTCAAGTTTAAAACCAAACAAGAGTCATTTTTGAGAGAATTTTACAATTTTTAATACATGATTAGTACCTATCGCGCTTCATGGTATGAGTAGAAGAGCAGAAGAAGAAAAAAAATGGGTAATACCGTAAAACAGTTAGACATACATATCTAAAAAATGAGTATACTGCATACATTATCAAGGAATTAGATTACAGTGCACGAAGGTATATATTCTACTTCTGCCATACTTTCCGGATTTGGCTCCGTTTGATTTCTACTACTTCTTCCACCTCAATAAAGATGTTAAGGACAATTTACACCATTGATGGCAGACGAGCACTTAGATTCGAGAGACCATCACAATTTTTCATCGATGGAAAGCAAATATTTGTCGCATGTTGTGCTGGGAGAAATTTTTCAATGTAAATTTTAATACAGTTCCTATATTGAAAAATAAATTCTACGTTTTGTTAGCTACCAAATTTGAAATTTTATTCAATTTTTGTCCCGCATCGAAATACGTTTTGCCTGGCACCTCCACCATAAAATAAAGCAGAAAATTGTATTATTCATGCAACAGTCATTAAAGTCGTAAACTTACTATTCGATAGTCTTTAGTTGTATAACAATTCTTTTATTATTAAATCAAGAAAAACACACGAAATATATGACAAAAGCATTAATTGTAGGTACCATTATAAGTACTTATTAAGCAAACAATTTTTGTTAATAATTA